TATTGCACATGCAAGTATAATATATTTTAGCGCCGAAACATTTCATTTTTCAGGTTGAGCCCTATGAAATTATTAATCTCCAACAAACGTACCCTAAGACTCACTTGTTATTTATATGCAGTGAATGGCAGCTTATTTACCCAAACATTAGAGTGATCCAAAATGTTCAGCTAAGCAGGAACACAAAATATGATATTATATTATGTAAATGGGTTTGTGATACGCTCTGCTGGATAATAACTTCCAGATGTCTCCGTAGCCAGAGGCTGACGGATATCAAAGGCAGGTTGGCTGGCAGGGGAGACAAGCCAGCTGGCGAGACTGGCTACTGCTAAGTGTAGCGGAAGGTGGAAGCTGGTGTTTCTTCACACTCACTGGTTTTATTTGTGGGCCAGTGTAAAGTCAGCGGCTCGTAGCCTTCTTGTCACAAGCAGGATAGGGCTGGAGGGGCTGCTGGCATCCCATGTGTCTGGTTCTGTCAGGGGATTATTTTTTGACTTCTTTTACGAGTGGAGGTTGGGTTTAGTGTGAGTCTCCCAATGGATGAAAGGTTGACGAGCCACACACCAACACTGACAGGAGATTATAGACTCACTAAATGGTTTTTACAACTTATCCTTTATTCCCAGTGCCATGTGCAGGCATTCCCAAACAAGGAATGTCCCTGAGCTCTCAGCATTGTGGTGTAAATGGAGTTAGTTGAAGCACCCTGCAGCCTCACCAATTTGGAGTAAGGTGTCCTGAAGCTCTGGGGTTTTGAAGTCTGACAGTTCCTTTGGGATTTAGCTCTGTGTCCTCTTCCCAATGCAGCAGATTGTGTTCACCATCCTTAAAGGCAATTCTAGACTGAAAAGGGACTGGAAATAACTCCTGGGAGACTCCACTAGAGCTGCTGACATGGACTCCAAGATACCCCTATACCTTCTGTGAAGCAGGCTGGGAGAGAAAAGTTCTTTTCACAATCCTTACAGATTGTGAAAAATTAGAGTTGTGATTGAGGTTGCACCTCCTCCAACCTCACAATGCTTTCTAAAAGCTTGATCTGCCATCTCAGTGAATGGTTTATGATTGATTTCTATATGTTTTTAATTTATTATTTCAATTAATAGCCGAAATAAAACCCAAATCAAATAAGTGGTAAGGGGAATTTCAGGGCAGATTCTGTGACTCTGAGCTGCAGTTGATCCTCAGCTCTTCAGCTGTATTATCAGACGCAGGGAGGATGGTCTCTGAGAGGCTCTTCCTCTGCCCTGCAATTTCTCATAACAGATATTAGAGCTGCACATTCCAGAGAAGGAAGCATCTTTCAGCAGAAGATGCCAGGGCTGTGTTTGATTTGCCAGCGCTGGCGGTGTCCATGTGTGTCACAGTTATGGACCAGAAGCCCACTGGATAACTCAGAGACAAGTGTCAATCCCAGGCTTGCAGAATTTGGGCTTTAAATAATACATCCATCACAGGACTGCTCAGCTTCATCAGCAAGCTTTTAAAAATTCTGCCCCAATACAATACTAAGGCATTAGATCCTACTGAATCCAAGCTCTCCTAACAAGTTTACATCCCAGCATGGGCTCTTCTCCTGTTGTTTCTCTTCATCCCACACTTTGTAATTACTTTTTCCCCTTGATCTTGAATGTTTTCATCTGTTTTGGTTCAGCTGTATTTCTCTAGCTTATCAGTGTCCTAAAGTGATAGACAGGCATAATTACTGAATTATCTGACTATTTTATATCCTCCTGTAATTATCTTTGTATTACCAAAGACCGTGCTCACATGTTCCATGTTAAGAGTTTGATCTTGTTGTAACGAGTTATAAATGTCACCCTGTACTTTTTGGAATGGAGAGTGGATTTCACTTTCCCCTGGGCACGTGTTCCATGGATTGCCTGGTGCTGTAGACCATCATTTTCATGCCATATGTAAAAGAGTCACAAAAACAATAGCAGAGAAACCACCCCAAAGCAGCAACACTAGATGCTTGACTTGATTTTGTGAAGGACTGTGGACAGTTTGTGCTCTGGTGGCACTACAAAAGATGGAGGAATATTTTATCTTTTAAAAATGCTTCTGAGATTCTGTAAAGCATGTAGCCAGTGAGGCCATGAAAAAGGAGCAGTTGTCATTTCAGTAAAAGCTGTTACTCAGCAAAACTAGAATTGGAAGCTGTATTTTAGAATTAATTTAATATGGTGTCATATTCTGGTTTTGAGTTGAACTTCAGATTCTTGCAAACTCAAAAACACTGGAGAGTTTTCTGGTGCTCACAGTTTGACAATGCTGTTACTCCAGATATGTTCTGGGATGTTTCAGTCAGAGATCTGAATAGTTCTGGCATTTATACTCACCAGACTTTGTTACTGCATTTGTCTCACAGCTTTTAAGCAGCAGAAAATATGTACAACATATTTAAACAACACCAGAGAAATTAAGGTCAAGAGAATGCATTGTCAACAAATGAAGATAAAAAAGAGCTGTTTTTTTAAAAAAAGAAGAAAAATTGTTGTTGCAAGATGCTTTTGAAATCTTGCATATAAAATTCAGAGTCATGTTGATGATTTATTCTAATACAGGAAAACATCATCAAGAGTGACAAGTAAGCTAGTCACTGTCTAGTCACCTGCCAGCAAGTATTTCATACAGACTAAAAAGGCTGGTATTGCCTTGCTGAGCTGACACTAATTATTTCAGTATACACGGAGCTTTGGGATTCGTGTTAATTCTCCAGTCTGTCTTTAGTTCAGACTCATTCCACTGTGTAAACTCAGAAGAGCACAAATTATTTGACCATCCTTTCATAATCTGTCCCCATGCTCACTTGCCAATTATATAAACTGATCCAAATACCTGCTCTCAAAGGATTCCCATTTGGGAATCACAAGCCAATTAAAAAAAAATAGGGGATATCCACAATTCTGTTGCTCATGTCTCATAGTCCTATTTCATATTGTCATGCATTTCTGGGTGTCTTCTTTAGATAAGATTGATTTCATCAGTGTTCAGAAAAGATACCTTTCCGTCAATAAAATAATTTTTAAATGGAGCCTCTTTTGGATATAACATTGCATCCCATAGGAAGGAAGAGGTCAGCAGTGCCTACCAGTGTCCTGGCTATCCCAAGAAAGTCTTCCACTGCCACACCATGATTCTGTTTCTTTGTTTATTGCCCACTTCAGTAAGCATTCTAAGAGCAGCATCTAAATATTGTACGTGGTGCTGTGATTTCATGATTCTGTTGGAAGTGTGTAAACAGCACTTAGGTGAACACAACCCACATCACAAGTGTGAGACAGGACCTGAGGAACGTGCCTCTGTGTGTGACTGAAAAGACCATATTTGTCTGTTCTGTGAAAATTCAGCTCTGGAACAGGCTTGTTTTTAAGTTTTGCAGTAAAAATAGCTGCATTTTGGCACAAATGCTTCCAATCCTTGCAGCCAGCGGATGTCTGCCCTCCAGAGGTAACAGAGATCAGAGCCGTGACCAAGCTGTGAGCAGGGGCTCCCTGCTGCTGTGCCCTGCTCTCAGGATCTCCAGCCTTTCTGGAGAAAGTCCACACAGCCCTGGAGCCACACCTCAGTTTAACTTTCATTTACTCTTTAGTTTTCATATACTGTGTAGTCTGAAGGTGACTGCCTGTTTCTTTACCTCCTGATCAGGAATTGTAACATGCTAATAGATGGATTTACATCAAACTAGAAGGCCTGAAGCAATGATTCCCACTGAAATCAGTGCCTACAGATAACTGCTTGGAGGGTGTTTGGGTTTTTATGTTTGGAGTAAGACAAAAAGTGAATGTGGCTTAAAATGGCAGGAGCCTCAGAAAATGCTTTGATAGCTTTTCCTGCATTGCTCTTGTGTGTTGGGGCATTGGGTTTGGGGGGAGTGGGTTTTTTTGGAGCAAAATAGCTGAAAATTGTAGCATTCAGAGAACAGTATTCCCACTGGATCTTACCTCAAATGAAAAGAATGTAACTTGCAGTCTTTGTGATTTATGAAAGTTTAAACATTTTCTGGTGGGAGTGCAGGTCACCATATGGTAAAAAAGCCCTTGCTAGTTATCTTTTCTGCAGACTTTCAGAAGTAATTGCTGGAATCCTAGAAGACCACAGAGTCTTGAAGTATTGGGACTGCATAACCTCTGAAGAGCCTTCCCAAATCTACATTTCATTGATTCATCATTCTGTAAAGCATAAATTTTCTAATAGCGAGCCAGGCTCTCTAAGTCAAAATCATGGTCCTAGCATTTCCATTTTTATTCCATAGCATTGTAGCATTTCCAGCACCGAAGTATTCCATTCAGAGAATCCACAGTTTAAAAAAAAAACCACAAAGGACTCAAAGTCACACCAAATAATGAAAATTTACTGTGCCTGAAATGTATGACACTTCCCAGGCAGCATGGGGTGTGTATTTTGGGATTTGTGTTCAAAACCCAGCTCTCATATAAAGATCATTTGTTATGAAGCACTAAAAATCTGATCTAATGAACCTTTGCAGCCATGGGGCTGACTCTCCCTCTGGCTGAGGTTGGGTTTGCAGAACCACAGACTGCAGGTTTTTGTAGTCCTGCTTATGCTTAATACCAGACTATAAGGCTGGACCCCTGACTTGGACTGCAAAGGAATCTTCTTCAATTTTTTTTGTGTTCTGGTAGATTGTACTTACGGAAAATTTTCAGCATCTTCTTTACCCCAATTCTCTGCTGCGTCTCCCTGCAGCTGGTGTAATGAAGACAATACATTCTTGGAGGCGTCTTGGCTTGGGAGTGACAGCTCCATGTATTTGTGAATGGTTTCATTGATGAAATGGTGTTAGGTCTTAGGTTTGACTTGATGATCTGCAAGGTCTTTTCCAGCCTAGCTGATTCTCTGATTCTGTGGCAGCAGAGCTGCCAGTAAACACGTCGTGTCTTTGTTCCACGCGGCTGTTTATGCCACTGTTGGACAGGTCCTGAGAAGTGAAGAAGAAGCTAACTGGTTGTGCTTTCTTGTTCCCAAAACAGCCCAAAGGAAGGAAGGCACTGCCTGGAGAGCTGGTGCAGCAGCAGAGTGACACCCTGCTGCCGTGGCGGCAGCACCAGAGTGCCAACGGGCTGCGGCGGCAGAAGCGGGACTGGGTCATCCCACCCATCAACGTGCCAGAGAACTCCAGAGGGCCCTTCCCGCAGCAGCTGGTCCGGGTGAGTTCAAGTACAAACTAGTGACAGCAGTGCTAATAATAACAGTGATCTCGTAATGGCTCTGGTGGAGCAGTAGGTGTGGGAAGCCTGGCTCAAAGCACAGGCTCTCTGCTCCTGCAGGAATGGTTGCCTTTTCCATGCTGCTCCAAAGCTCCTCACCCCAGTTTCCCTCCCCAGCTGACGGCAGCCTAATCGCCTCCTTCCAGCCAGTCCCTCCTGAGACACTGGCACTGCTGCCAGGATGGCACTTTGCCCACGCTCTCATCCAAAAAGCGGCTGCAGGTGTAAAAGCTGGGCTGGGTGGCACCCAACGCCGAGGGTGCTGCATCCTTCCCTCCCCATCCCTCCCTCCCGCGCCCATCCCGCTGCAGATGCGCGGCGGCCCGGGGGAGGTTGGCTGCCTGCCGCCGCTGCAGATGGATCCGCCAGCCTCCCCTGTGCTGCTACTTTCTTTCTTCACAAGGATAATCTCTGAGATCAAGTTTACCCATGTGGTTTTCTGTGATGATTATGGGATGACAGGAAAAGAAAAGGAAGGGGAAAGGAGTGTTTTGCAGAGACATTTGGTTGATTTATTGTTGCTGTTGATAAGTGTTAGTGAAATACAAGCACATGTTGCTATTCCTCTTGTGGGTGCTGGTTTCGGTTTTTTGGAGCAGTCAAATGATTAGCTGTAAAAAAAAAAAAAAAAAAAAAGTAAAACTCCTTGGCAGACATTTGCAGCTAGTTCTTCCCTTGGAAGAAAATGGCAACAATATAAAATTTCAGGAGTTATTTCAAGTAGCACTGGTGTATCATTGGCATCCCTTCTCAGGAAGTTTATTTAGTACTTTTGAAGCAGTGCCTGGATTCACATCAGTTGCATCATTACCTGTTTCTGTGTCTAGGAGGAAGGGGCATGTACCAAATTCAATCAGGGATTGTTTAAACTCGGATTGTTGGTGTCATTTCTCTGTGCAATGAGGGAGTACAATAAGGACTAAGAAGTACCATGTGGTAAATAAAACCAGGGAGGGAATCCAGAGAGTCTTTGTGTGGTCAGCAGTGCAGGTATGGAATGACCCATTAATGTGTTGTCCTACTAAGCTGAAGAAATGTCTGAAGAGGAGAATAATCTGATGTGTCAAAAATGCCTTTCTAAATCAATAATTTAGATAAATCTTGAATTCCTGTGAAAAACAAAGGGTAGTATTGCAAAATGAACTTGTGCTCTCTTCCATTCCCTACTGATTCCTTTTGAGTTTTGACTAGACAGCAAGAGGACAACTTGGCACCAGCTTCCCATGGCAAATTTGTTGATTTATAAGGACTGAAATCTCTGTGGCACTTTTTACCCTACAGTCTGGAGATGAAACAGAAGGACTCGACTATGCAAAATTCTAATATTAATGGAAATGACAAATAATAAATTTTATATAGGTACCAAAGAATTTATATTCATCACTTAGACTACCGGTAACCTTGGAAAGATAACCTGGCTTATGGAAATACAGAACTCCCAGATTTTCAGCAATATATTCCATTGCAGTTTTCTAGTACAGATGCTAGAGGAAGTGCTGAAAATGAAGTAAAAATGGGGTGGGAAATAAAAAAAAGCCAGACTGGTTTACAAAGGACTGTTTTCCTCTTCACCTGACACACAGAAGGAATCATAATGACAGGGAAGATCATACAAAGAGTGCAACTTGATTAAGAATGAGACCCCTGATGTTTCAGGCTTGAGTTGAGTTTCTGCTCCTCTGCAACATCTGGCCCTTTTGCCAATGCCTGAATGTGAAGCTTGGGTGATTCCTATCAGGAGTTACAGCTCCCTCCGTTAGACTTTGCTCTTTAATTATCCAGAATAGGACAAATCGACATCTTCAAAGACCAGCACTATCTGATTATTTCCATCCACATAATCTTCAGATTGCCCTGGAGCATTTTGCTGTCTCCTAGATCTAGGTAAGAGTTTTGATTTGATTTCCCATGCTTTTGCTCGCTAGGCACTGAATATTTTTGTGTCCATCTGCTCACAAACTGGAACCAGAAGTGCACATGTGAAGTTGCAGCTCAGCTCTCATTTGTACAGAAGCAGGTCTGTCATTGTTTTCTCTTCTGTTTTATATAAAACATTCAAACCTACCGCTGGTTCTTGGACACTGAACTTTTTTTAGTCCAGAAAGACCAGCCCGAGCTTACATTTTGTAGGTATAACTAATAGAAACCAGTCCCTCCATAGTGGTGAATTTTGTTCTGGCTTCCTCCAAGGACAGGAAGGGCTGGCTTGAAAAATCTCATCACTAAAAAACCAAAAAGCCCTACCAGAAGTACATTTTCATAGAACCACTTGCTGTTTGCGTTTTTATAGGTCAGACTAATTTGAAATGCATAGGCAAATCTTTCAGGTTCCCTCCTACTCCTGCTTCCTATTGTGAAGGTAAAAATTCCATTTTATGGAAGTTGATTAGTTACTTGTCAGTATTTTTAGCAAGGCTGTGCCTGAATGAAGTTTAAATCATAGCAAAGGTGAATGCAGCTTGATGGGAGCCACATACCTCGAAAGGCAGCCCTGTCTGGTTCATCTGGGATCAACTGTAATTCTCTGCTCATTAAACCATTTCATTCTGATAAAATACGTTAAATGAAAAAGTTTTTAGAGAAAAAAAGAAAAAAAGGAACATTATCCCTGCCAAAAAAAAACTTTCTGTTAATTACAGGGTTTTTTCTTTCTGAGGAACATCCATGTCTGTTCATATACATCAACCACACTAACTAGGAAATGTGTTTCAGAAAAAAATAGCTGAAAAATTAATAATAGGAATTTCTAATTAATTTTGGCTGCTGAAAAGATTTACTTACTCTTTGAAGATTTTAAATTATCATCTGATATTTATAAGCTAAAAAAAATTGTTAGTATATAAAAATGTTTTGTAAATTTTGCTTTTGTCTTTGAGCTGAGAAAACAGTTATCAAAATTTATTGATATATGCTTATTTATTTTGGAAACATTTATGAAAATCTTGAGTTTCATTTCCTTCTGCTTCACTTCCACCTTTGTACTAGGAATAATATTGCACATGCTGTGAAATATTTCACTGTTGTGAGGCTAATTTCATTACTAATTGTCAGGTACTCTTATTATTATAACTGAAGTCCATAAAAATGCCTATTAAAAATACAAAAACAATATGAAATCCCCCTCCTTCTCCAAGCAAATGACTCATGCAGGCACACTGATCAGTTAAGATAATATATTAAATAGTTGCACCCTTGCTGAGCTCTGTCTATTTTCTCACTGACTCATCCTTTTTAGCTACACGCGTAGCTAATTCTTAATTATCTATTATCTAATTATCTATTAGCTTATCTTGTATTTCATCCTCTTTTGAACTTCAAAAAGAATCTCAGTTTTGGATTCACAAGCCAGTCTCCAGCTGCTTCTAATGGGAATCTTGACTTCGTTTTCAAGGCAAATCTTGGTCCATCTCAATGGACTACATGAAAATAATTAGTTTAAAAATACAAGTCTTGTGCAGAACTGGCCTTTGGTCATCTTTGACATGCTTAGATAATGGGCTCCTCTGTCAACCACTGCCACTGTGTTCTCCTTTGTGAGGGCTCCAGACTTTCAGTTCATCTCCAGGACCTTTGCAGAGCTCTTAGAGCCTCCCATCTTGCACTTCATAGACCTTAATTTTTCCAGCTTGCCTTTATTAAACATGAAACTGAAAAATATATTCTTTTCCTGTTAGATCTCTTATTATAAACAACTTGTTCATTCTCATTATACCAGCATGACAATCCCCTGAGGATGACCAAGACAGGATCTTGGTGCTCTCACAAACTGCCTTGATTGCATGCTACAGGCACAGCATGTGCTCCCGTATCCTAGCGCTGGTGATCTCAGCCACAAGAATACTAGAAATAACCTGATGTGTGTAACAGGGAATAAGAGGGAAGGATGCATTTTATGTAAATTTAATCAGAAAGTCCTGAAGTGGCTTGGTAGGTTGGCAGAATATAATATATCTGAAGCCTCTTGTGTTGTTGCTTAGCAGAGGTGTTGTTGTCGTGTTGGGTTTCCGGCAGCATGGGGCACATTAAGGGAGCAGAGAACTTCTCTTGACACACTGCAAAACCCTGTGGTGGACTCTTGAATGGGTTTAGCACATGTTAAGCTATCCTGTGACTTTGAATATTTAGTATGAAAAACATTGATAGCACACTCTCCAGCTCAACAGCCTGTGTGTGAGCCACAGCCCACCCTGGCACAGGAAATGGGTGAGGGAGCTCTCCCAAAGTCTGAAATCCTGGTGCTGGAGACACACTGAGCTGTGAAATCCCTGCCAGCTTGGACCATCAGCCCTCAGTGCTGCCATCTCCTTTGCTCCTCATGGCTGTTTCAGCGTGTGCCTTTGCACTGTTTTAAATAGTTTTATTGTAGGAAATCCCTCTTGCCTCCTCTATCACAGAGTTGCTCACTGCTGTGAAATTGGCAGTGCAGAATCCATTAGCTCCCAGCTGCAAGACAGATGGCATCTGTCTGTGGTGAGAGAAGGTTTGTTGAGAAAAGGCCTTGCAAATGCTTCCCAAAGGACATCAGACCTTACTTTTCCTGAGAGAGATGCAGACAGCATTGATTACAAATAGACCTAGATCTTCCTTGTTCTCCACAGGAACAGGTGTTTCTTTTGCCTTATCAGCCACACACACACTCAAAGAAAAAACATGGCTAGTTCTGGCTCTCAGTGCACTCTTTGTGATGCCCTGTGAGCATCACCAACTGGAACTCAGAAATGAGGGGATTTGGTCTTTATTGTAACACTCAGAATAGGATAAGGAGCAAGCCCAGAGGGTGGACAAGAAATGGGACGTTGTGCAGGTTGTGGTGCTCTGGAGAGTCACAGCCTTTCTGTGAAAGCTGGATCAGGGATGTAGATTGAGACAACTCTTGGCTCTACTGCAGTTTCACACCACAAACCAACCTGGCACTAAAGACAGAAAGATGAGCAGGAAAA